CTATTAAAGGAGCTGGAGTAAATTTTATTCTTTTCATGTTTTGATTGTAACTGTTCCAGGTGGACGAGGATAAGAAGTCACAAGAGCGCATGTACGATCTCATTGAAAAACTACAACAGAAAATCAAGACCTATAAACGCCAAGTTGAAGATGCGGTTAGTGAACCTCTATTCCTCCTTTCCTCTTTGTCTTCCCTCTACCTTCTCTTTCGAATGACTGCTCTTGACCTTGTGAGAAAAAACGGATGGAGCTCTTTCTTGTGATTGTTTCATAATATCGTAGCATGTAAGAATGAGTCATCGATGGTAATAATTTCAGGAAGGTTTGGCAGCGCAAAATCTGGCCAAGTATCGCCAACTTCAACATGCTCTTGAAGATGCCGAGGAACGAGCCGATGCAGCTGAAAACGCGCTAGCTAAAATGCGATTGAAGAACCGAAGCGGATCGTATAGGACGTTGTCGCATTCGGTAAGTACTCGAATTATATGAGGTGTCCTGTTCGTATTTCGAAGGTAGTACCGTTTGAACGTGTGTTGTATTCTTTCCACTGGGTTTCATCCTCATAGCACAACATAAAACTCGGCTGTTGTACAATGCATATTTCAGTCAAAAAGAAAGAAAATAGCCTTCAGAAAATCGGGTTTCTTGGAGGTATTAAATACTAGGCTCTGCGCTCCTTGAGTATGGAGGAGGGTTTTCCAATGCACAGCTGCCCAGACGCGATCGCGGATTGAAAAGGATTCAGTTGTGGAATGAGCGACAGTGCAAGGGGGAATGGTGACCGGGTGCACAAAGTTGTTTGGTCTGTGCGTTGATGTCATTGAAGAAACCTTTTTTAGGAAATTTGATCAGTAGTTTAAACGTTCTTCTGCCTTCGGAAAGGTCTTACACAAAAATATTGTATCTCTTGTTTGCACCAATGCGTGCTGCAGTGTTGAAGTTCCATATATGAAAATTACAAATTATAACGAAGCCGAATCAAACGTTCGAAAATCACACTCTGTGGACAGCTTGCAGACAGCTGGGCGTAACCAAGGGCGCGCATAGGGCAAAGTGGGAGGGCGATAGGCGAGGAGGCGGTGATATGGTGGTACGTGGTAGCAAGGGAAAAAAGTAGAATTCAGCTTTAAATTCAACTCAGTACAGGTGCAAGACCATTATGAACATGAGATTAGATCTCCTACAGTCGGTGACAAAAAGCATGAGTGAAATGTATATTATCATTATCGTGAAAAGGCCCATACAAGTTTTTTCTAATGGCACCATCGTCGGCGGCAACGTTTGTTGGGTGATACAATTTTGCAATTGAAGTGTGACGGAGGAACAATAGAATTTCTTGACTTTTCGATTTGTTCACCAGACAGACGCAATTTTTTCCTTCCTTTCGCTCTTCCCATGCAGGATAGGTTTCATGCCAACAATCCATGTGGGAGATAAAACCAGTTTTCGAATGAGTCAAATTTATAATATGACGAGCTGCGATCATTTGAGATGTCCCCTTTGAAAATGCGCAAGCAGAAGTAGCTCTAGGAAGGAACGAAAATGACAAGGACAGAACGGTGAGAGCTCGATGGTATTTTCACAACGAGACAAACGGCTGGACAAAACTCTACGCCGAGATGAGCGGGATAGGAGTTTTGTAGAAACGGCAAAGTCTCAATTTTTGCTACATGGTGCGTTCTTTTTCGCGGTGATTGTCGTCGAGATTGTGAGAAAAAAAGCGTCGAAATGACCCCACCCTCGCTTCCACTACCGTTCTCTTCAACGCTCCCCGTTCGTACTTTCGAACAATTGATTTACCTTTGTCAACCCAACCACGACCTTCCCGTTTGAACTACAGAAAACGTTGATCGATTCTGTTTTCGGATAGTGCTAAGGCTTAGCTGATTGAACATCTACACGCTAGAGAACCCGTGGACAAGTCAAACGAGATCTACGTTCAAGAGGTTGCAATCGCAGTTCTTCAATCACAAACACCCACTGCGTACAATGCTCAGCTGAGCTATGTAGGTGTTCACTGCTGTAATACTGCATCCTTCAAATAAGTCTAAACAAGCGTAATTTGCCTCCCGTTCATGATTCATGAAATATTGTCTATGATCAATTCGCATCCTTCGTAGAATCCCCCAAGCAGGGCTATTGATTTCAGATGTCGAGCACGGCCGTGAATACACGAAGCAGCTCTCGAGGTCGCATCCTGGATGACGGAATTGAGGAGTGAGAAATCAAAAAGGAGAGAAATTTCTATTATTGTTAAGATTGAATATTTTGCTGATGTTTTCATATCATGACCGTCACATTTTTACGACTTACTTATATTCGTTACCTATAGAGTGCCGGCATTATCAAGTGCCTTATATCTCGCCTTACTATAGCGTTGAAACCTCTAAATATCGAATTATATTCTCGTACGATGTGAATTGAATCTTCAGATCATATAAGCGCATAATAAACTTTCATTCCTTCTGCCTCTGGTAGCTGATACAAAAGTAGCCCAAAGGCAAGGGAAGCAGAATCTCATATACAGTAAAAGAGAAGGGCGGGAAAGGAGGGGGGGGGGCAAAAAAGCTGTTTTGCCCATGGCGCACTTCACAAGCGGCCCTGCCATTGAAGAGGGGTCTATGTCAGCATATGCCTGAGATGCCCCTCGCTCGCCCCTCCCCCATGAGCAGAATCAAACTGCACTCCCTTCGCCGTCCTCAGTCTTCACACGACGCCATCTGCCAACAGCGTTTAACTCGAGGAGGCCTGTACCGTAATGGCTCCAGCGTGAAGCTACTAGATAGTTATTTTTTCAGCGATCAACTGACGTATGTTTCCTAGAAACAGTAGCACGGACTATGCAACAACTCTTCCGACCACCATTCCAGATAATGCCGTATTCACGGTATTATCTGGGATGTTGGTCAGAAGAGTGGTCTGGAATGGTGGTCGTGATGTTCCATGATCTGTCGACATCGGTAAGCTTGAACCGTACGCCAGGTTCTCGCGGGGATGTCGGTATAGAAGGCTATTATGGAGTTTCTCGATAGATTGCAACTCGATTTTCAACTTACAGTTGAGAAAGCGAGCTATTTAATGTTTTTATCCTCCTCCTAGCAAGTCTGGTACCAATCAATTAAGATATTATAGGCCTGCTTGGCCTGGGCAAAATTTCTAGCTGTTTGATCTCCCGACCAGATTTCTGAAAGCAGCGGCATATTTCACTGCACCACTTTCGCGCTCACACGTTGTGTCAAGGAATGGTCACGGATTCGTTACAGACAGCTGCCTTTTTTTCGTGTGGTACTGCGAGATCCGGGTCCTTGTATGTGCTGGACGATCGCGAGCTTAGCGTTCATAGGAGGACATTCAAAACAGGGCATTCAATAACCACTGGTATGTAGGTGACACCAGGACTAAGTCAAGGAGTAGAGGAAGAAACGTCCGAAACAGCAAAAGGTTGCTTACGCCTCTCCCAGAATTTCTCGCTTTCGTAAGGGTTAGTCTATGTCCTGTAAGTAGCTCAATCACTTCAATGTTCCCTTTACGACATTACGACACGACATTTTCCAACTTTCAAATGAAAAATCATGTGAAACACGTCAATATTAGAAAACTTGCTGATTGGACAAGTGAAATATCAATCATATCATACTTGCTGCATTCACCTCTTATCAGCGTTTCAAAAATTGGCAGATATTTCATTTACCGAAAATATATGTGTGAGTAAGGTGGGTCAAATTCGCTATTTACTTTTTATCACAATGTCCGCGGGAAGTTTGTGTAAAAGGAGTGAAATACTCGGACAGGTGGGATACATTTCTAACATGCTCCGCAGCCAAGAATACCTTCACTATCAACGCAAACATTTAGTGCAGTATCGAAGAATTTTCCTGTACTTTGGAAGATAGGCCACGGAGAACGGTTGGAGGGCCAGGTTGACTTAGTTTGATGGTGAGAGCCTCGATCTCTCGTGCCTTCTGGGCATAGGGTCGATGCGTAACTAGTACTACTTCGTGAAACAGGGTTGAGGGTTATTTTACGATGCGCAAATCAGGTACTGGGTGAGACACGAGGTGGATTCTGGGGAGATGAAGCAGCACGGTTCTGGAGCGATGAAGCCCGACGAATCATTCAAATCAAAAAAGAAGGCCTCCTAGTGCTGCCAGAGACCTCAAGCCCGCAAGAGCTCACTGCAACCAAAACGTGCAATAGTCTTATCAAGGCTGTCGTCGCCAGGGCTAATAACACGGGGACGGAAGGCTTGTACAAAAAACTGTTATTCTAGGCAAAATAAGCTCCGTTCCAGTCTCAGGGGCATGAGGTGGTGGAAGGACGGGTGAAGAGCAACGTTGGCACACAATCTGAGGAACTCAGTCTAGGTCAGGAGGAGATGGGAGGACTAACACTGAGCTTCAGAGGGCGGAGCCCCTCATATGAGCAACCTACAAGGAAAATGCTAAAACACCTGATTTGTCTGTTGAAGTGTATGTACGATGGCTAATGTGGTCATACTCGTTCACCACGGCCTAACTAAGGAGGTGGACATCACGTTTGTGGTAGATCAAGGGTCCAGATCTAAACCCATTCCTCTTCCTGCTATCACTCTCATTGCGAGGAACCAATGGAGGGGTCACTGCCAACATCGTCCTGATATCAGACAACAGGGAAGAACCCCAGGACAAGGCAAAAGGGCAGGAGGTGCTAGCTGTGTAATGGCTTTGGTTTAGCGTGACGAACACCAAGTTTCTGAACCTTGGAGAAGGTTTAGAAACGATTCCATACACGGGTTCGATCTTGTTGTGGTATGCAAGTTTGAGGCGAGGTCGGGATAATCGCTGGGATGTTACACCGGACCCCATGCCGACTGCCGTGACTAAAGACCCGAAGTGCTCGAGACCATGGTGGGAGGGCGCCTTCCTCGAGCAACGAGAACGCGACTGGGAGGGTGAGTAAGCCTTCAGCCTGAGCGTTTCCGACAGATTCTTTCCTTTTTTCCTTACTGTCGGCACATTTCGCAATAATACATTCGCATTCGTGCGCCAGAGCCACACACAGATGTGATCCTGGGGCATGGCTTTAAGCGAGACTAAGCGGAAGGAGCCACAATCGTGTATCTGAACGGATGGAACTTCGGTGTTCCTGGGAGCTCGCAAGATAGATTCAACATCAGGAGGTGTTGGTTTCATCGCGTTAAGAACTCCTAAAGCGTAACGTTCCATGTGAGCACCGACTCGCCACATTAACTGCAAACCTTGCGAAAGATTCGCAAGTTACATCATACAAGATTGCGCTTCTACAGCAGACAACGATGAAGAGCAGCATGACATGACATTTCTACGAACAACTCGAGGAGCTCGTGTGCAGCAGCAACGTGGCTACGTCGTTGTCATGGAGAGACATCAACGCTCGAACAGGATCACGAAAGGTCGGCGTGGCCTCCATCGGGCAGCATTCCGCTGAAGAGCGCAACGAACCTGGAGAAGATGAACAAGTTTTGCGAATTCCATCACCTCTATCACGTCAATAATCAATTCCTTAAGGCACTACGGAGAAGATGGACACATATTTCTCCGAATGGACAGCACTGCCACGAAATGGACCACATCTTTCAGTGGAAGAATTATGGAGGGTGTTGCGGTTGTCCCTCTCAACAACGAGAGCTGTCGCCGGTCGTTGCGTGGGCAACTTCGAGTAAATCGTGCTTCAATATTATGTTTCTGCTGCGCATACACTCCAGGCGGCCCTGCCATACTGTGATGGAAGAACATGCGATCGCAAGGCTTGCACACGAAGAGCTGTATGAAATGGTTATTGACATCAGTGCTACCCACCGAAACCTCGTTCAAACGGTAACGGCAATCGCAGACAGCTGCCGTAATGTTGCCCCAAACAACTTCACGTCGCATCTCTGCATCTAGTCGTGCTCTACTCGAAAAGCGGGAAGGGAAATATGGATCGGGGCAAGAAAATCACGTGGAGTACACCTTGCCAAATAGAGATTATATAGGCATATTACTATCGCATACTGCTATATTGCTATACCAGATTGGTCCCCCGGCAACCACCGGGACCTCCTTACCTGCGTAAGCTTTACTCCTTCCAATGTGCTCCCATCCACTGGTGACATGGACACCTCGTGGAGGTGGCACGCATGCACAAAAAAGTGTCTTATATAGTAGAAGGCATTACCGTAATCGTGACATGACCTTAGAATCCTTCTATTTTATAAAGCGCTAACTTTGTGTGTCGGTTTGTATGTCTGTATGTGTGTGTGTGTGTATGTATGTATGTATGTATGTATGTATGTATGTGTGTCCGTCCGCAAAATGAAGTGGTAGGGAAACTCGTGAAGTAAACAGACCGTTAACAAAATCGAGTAACTATGACTTTAGCAATCAATGTTTTGCAGTGCTATCAATGTGATAACACCCCAACGGCTATATAAACACCTACTGAGCATGGTCTCATTCCACATGATGCTGCAATAGCAGCTGGAGAGCAGTAGAGGGAAATAGGATAAGATGGAGAAGGGCGAGGGGAGCTAACCGCCAAAAGACCTGAGGTCCAATTAATATCATTCTAAGGTCATGTCACGATTACGGTAATGCCTTCTACTATATAAGACACTTTTTTTGTGCATGCGTGTCACCTCCACGAGAAGATAATACCAATAAGGATCACCAGATGGATGGACGAGCCATTTGAAAGAAGTCAAGCTTCACCAGGTAAGGAAGGTCCCGGTGGTTGCGGGGCATCTGGTGATATTAATTGAGACCTCAGGCCTTTTGGCGGTTAGCTCCCCTCGCCCTTCTCCATCTTATCCTATTCCCTCTACTGCTCTCCAGCTGCTATTGCAGCATCATGTGGAATGAATGAGACCATGCTCAGTAGGTGTTTATATAGCCGTTGGGGTGTTATCACATTGATAGCACTGCAAAACATTGATTGCTAAAGTCATAGTTACTCGATTTTGTTAACGGTCTGTTTACTTCACGAGTTTCCCTACCACACAATATCAATTTTGCGAAACGCACACAGACTGCTACATAACACACACATCACAGAACATACAAACCGAACACACAAAGTTAAGTGCTATTATAACATTAGAAGGGCACTCAATCGGCATATATCGGCAATATTGCTGAAGATCACGCCTATTTGCAAGGTCGGACTTTCTAGTGTAGGCAGAGAAGCAGGCAAAGTCTGAAAAGGGCAAAACGGAAATTGTTGAGC